AGAAGCACCAGGAGTGGAGCATACCCTTTGGACCTGGGGTCCCTGTGCTGAGAAGCTCCTAGAGCAGGGGAAGATTGATGACAAGGGCCTTCCCCGAGAACTGTCAGAGAAAGCTTTCCCTGGGAACTGGCACCCTGAATTCAGACTTCTAGCCTCCTAGACTGTGAGAGGATAAATTTCTGTTCGTTAAAGCCACCCCCTTGTGGTATTTCTGTTATAGCAACACTAGATAACTAAGACACTGCCACTTATTCCTTTTTGAATTAGGAGGACCTGTAGGTCCCAATTACAATGTTCTTGTGTCCACTACTACTTCTTGGTCTGTTTTTTGGGCAATAGCTACCCCTCGGTCCTTAATACAAATCACTAAAAACACTCGCTGCCATACCATCCACACCCCAGCTCTGACTGTGTGGCCCAGCAGGGTCCAAGAGTCTCACTATGTGGGAGACACATGAAAGAATGACACATCTTCTATGTATATGGAAACTTCAGATCTCAAGATATCCGTCTGGAGCCTCCAAAATTCCTGGATCATGCCCACTCTCACCTGATCCAAATACGTGATTATATTATTTGACTGACAAAAGACTGAAATTTATGAGTGCCCCCCACATGCCTACACACTTAGCTAGTTTTGAAACCTGCCAGTATTTCACCACATATAGCAGTGACGAATCAAATTTGAAACCAAAAGGTACTTTGGTCCTTGAAGTAAACTCTTTTATTAGATTGAGTTGAATTATCATTAACAAACAATAACTGTTCTGTAGGATGTGATGAGAAAATGTGACAATAGGTAAAAAGTGCCCAAGCCCGCCTTCTTAACAAAACTAAAGAGGTCTTTTGACTCAATCATAGAGGTTGAAAGTTCTTCATGACAGCTTATATTATTTGTCACTAACACTTGGATGTATAATCAGCTGGTCTTTCCAGTGTATTAATAAGCTATTAATCATGTCTGTGTCAATTCCTCTCTTTAACATGACCTCTCTTCTCTTCCTTCCTCTGCTTTCCTTTGTTCAGAGAAGCAACAGAAAACTCACCCATTATGGATGGGTCTGAGTCTCCAACTCACCAAAGTACTGATGAATAGAGGTATTGTAAGGGAATGTTTTGTTCTTACAACCCTTCCCCCTTCTCTGTCCATGAGAGTTTGTGATTCCAGACGTATTACAGATGTGTTGACTTTACCCATGTCATAATTTCCAGAAGGAAACATCCGAATGTTGTGGAAGCCATTATTTTTGTGTCCTATTTCTAGATACATGTGGAACTATATGTTTATATGTATGTTTTTACATCAGATATTAGATATTCCCAGTGCTACTTCCCAGAAAAGACCCCAAAGTATGTTTTAGACCATCCCAGGCTCCATGTACATCCAAATATTTGTAGAAGTTTCTCCTGGTTTAGTAATCAATGTCCATGAAAAGAATAGCATCACTGCAAGTTAAGTTCCAAAGCACCAAGGGCAGGCTGAGTTCATACAGAAGCACCTGAAGATCATTCATGAGTTCACCCCAGCGTTCTTGAGTGACAGCTGTGTCTGTACCAAATGCTGTGGAACCCCGCTTTTCAAAATCTAGTCCATAGGCTAGCATCCTCCTCCTCCTCATTACCTGTCTGACAAGCACCACCCAGCCTACTGAATCAGAATCTGCATTTTAAAGAGATCCCAGGGTGAATCACCTGACATTGAAATTTGCAAAGCACTGCTGGAGAGGCTATAAAATAGTTAACACCTGGCCTGGTTCCTATCCTCAAGGACCTTACAATCTATCTGGGAAACAAGGCTTTGAAATTAAATAGCACTTTAGGGGATGACTAACAAGGATACAGATCAAAAGAGGATAAAAAGTTACATTTATTCAATCAAAAAATTGAACCCTTATTATATTCCAGGAACCATGCTATACACCTGAGTTCCTACGATTAAGAATTTGAAAATCTATTAGGAGAAATAAGAGGGGAATACGAAACCAGAGCCCTTATGCATTAAGTGCTCTAAGACAGAAAAACAAAGTGCTAAAAAGATTCAGAGGCAGGAGGGCTCACTTCCAGCTTCACAGAGATGTTGTGCGAGCCTAGCTTCAAAGGACTATGGACGAGTGGAGAAGTTAGCCAGGTGGAGATCAGGAGAGGCCACACCAGGGGCAGGAACAAAGATACAGAAACAAATGTGGGTGTTTCGGAAACAGCAGAGTCTCATTTTGCCGTAGAGAAGGAGCCAGACTTCAGCCTGAAAAGTAGGTAGGACAAGAGCATGAACAAATTAGAAGAGAGATGTAGAATAATTTTTCCTGCAAGACCCTGGAGTTGGCAGATATGGGATTAGAAAAATTCATTGCCACCGAGTCAATCCTGACTCATAGTGGCCCTGTAGGACAGAGTAGAACCGCCCCATAGGGTTTCCTAGATTGTAATCCCCCGCTGAGTGGCTGGTGGGTTCAAACTGCAGACCTTTCTGTTTGCAGCCAAGTGCTTAACCACTGCGCCACCAGGACTCCTTTAGTTTAGAATAAAGGCTATTTTTCCTCGTAATGATTATTGGCTTCAACACATGTGATTGCTTATTGGCGCTTGGCTACTAATTAAAAGGTAGGTGGTTCAAACCCACCCAGTGGCTATGTGGGAGAAAGACCTGGCAATCTGCTCCCATAAAGATTACAGCCTAGAAAACCCTATGGGGGCAGTTCTTCTCTGTCACATGGGGTCACTATGAGTTGGAACGGACTTGGCAGCACCCAGCAACAACAACTGATATTTAAGAATCACTTCTACCCAACCTAAATTGATGCCTATCTGAAGTAGATATTTTTAAATATCTCTTATTTTCTTCTGTATGCTTTCCTATATATTTTAAGTGATAGTTTAATAATATTTTAATATTAATATATAATACTTAACACTAATAGTTATGCTATATTTTTTATAATCACAAAACATGTTATTTAGAATGAAGTAAACAACCAACATTGATTTTAAAACTTAACACTGAATTCAAAATATCACCTCAGTTTCATTATGGAGAAACTTCACGATCTGAGAGTTCTTCCAGGACTGACTAGAGGCCTCTGATGAAATCTGGTTACCTCTTGGGTCTCACGGAGGACAACCAAGCAACTCTCTGTGGAAAAAGTCATCCCTGAGTTGTCCCACCCTTAGTGGTTCTCAGCCTTGGCAGCACATTAGAATCACTTGAGGAGCTTTGAAAGCTCCCAACACTCAAGCACATTTCAGACCAATTAAACCAGAATCTCCAGGATGGGGCCCAGACTTGTGTGGTTTTTAGAGTTGCCAGGTGATTGTGTGGGCAAGGTTGAGAAGCACTGCTTTAAGTAATTGTAAGCTTACATTTTCCTTCTTCACGGATGGTCAAGGTTTCATGAGGTCTCCTTTACGTGAATCTTCTTAAGTCTATGTTGTTGTTAGCTGACATCACGTCAGCCCTGGCTCATGGTGACCCTGTGCACAATGGAATGAAGCACTGCCCGGTCCTGCACCATCCCGGTGGTCGGTTGCTGAGTGCACTATTGTGATCCATAGGGTTTTCATTGGCTGATTTTCAGAAGTAGATTGCCAATAGATCACCTTCGATATACTCAACAGTATTCTAGAGTGTAAGGCCTAGTTCCTCGTGAAATTTGAAGTCTAGTCACTCAGGGAATACTATTGGTCAACACAGGGCCCTAGATAAGTAGACAACAAACTTCAGAGTGCAGGCTACTAAGTGCCATTCTCCACTAACAGCCTCATCTCCCTTCTCGGATTCCCTGCAGGAGCTACAGTGACAGCTGTTTCCTGGATTCTTCCCTTTATCCAGAACTAGCTGACATCCAGTGGTACGGGCAGGAAAAAGCCAAGCCCGGGACCCTCGTGTGAGCCAGCTCGGCCTCAGTCTGACCGCCTCAACGACATTCTGAGATCACCTCACTGCCTCTCATTTGCCTTACCCAGATGCACTGTCACCCTGCACCAGCTTCAGCCCTCAGCACTTTCTTTCTCCCGTCTCCGCATCCCCTTACTCTAAAAAACCTGACTGAGGAGACATTCTGGAAGGTTCCGGTCCCACTGTGTGTCCCCTGGCTATCTTGCCCACAGAGAGCCAGACACCAATCCTCAATGGCACCTTGGTGGCTTCCCCCCTGTCATGACAGCCCCCAGGCCAGGAACCCTCAAGGAAGCTGGCTGGCATCCAGTTCCTGTGGATGAGTGGCATGGGTAGAGAACAGGAAAGGAAATTAAGTACAGGGTGATGCAGAAAGACCTCTAGGCCAACCAAGCACTTCTTGAAGAGGAGGCCTGTGGGGGATATTCAGTTTATACCTGAAATATTCCTTAATGAAATGGCTTGGAGTGGGGAATGGATGTTGGGAGGGGGGAGAACGAAAAAGAAATCTTAACACTTCAGAGATGCATCGGAGGATCACAATCAGTTCTATGCTGCCAAAGATTAAAAAAATAAATAAAACACAAAAAAATAAGAGGGGCCAAGAGGAAGGCATTCTTTCTGCAATGAAACTTCTTTTAAATTTTAAATTGCTACTTCATACCACAAGTGAAAGTCAACCATGTGTAAACTGTTTCCTCTCCTTATTCCTGTCCCTTAACATTCCACTTCTCTCTCAGTACAGAGCCTGAACAACTAACCCAATGGGATGGTAAAGATGAGGGAGTCTTGGCTAGCATTGCCTACTCGGAAGTGCCACCAACCTGGACGTGAAGGAAAACAGACCCATGGGGATTAGCAGAGTGTACGCTTCACCCTGGTCTGTCCAGGTGGTTCAGCCCAAGCCCAAGACACAAAGCTGCTTTCCTTTTGGGATTTGTGGTAAACTTGAGGTGACGATTACCAAAAGTGGTTCTCTATCATGACAACAACCAGTAAAAGTGTATCCTATTTTTTTGCACAATGTGTGTCATTTTATTTTTTGCGGGAAACCAAGGGAAAAGCACATTGCAGTCCATTCGAGTGTTTACCTGTCGTGGCCCATTTTATGTTTGTTAGCACTTGTGTGACATAGAGCTCAGATCTGACTTCTCTCAGCACCCGGTTACCAGTGTGTCATTTATTCAAAGAACCCAACTATGCTCTTAAGCAGTACAGTTTTACTTATGTGTCTACTAGCTAGGAGGCAGAGCAGGGTTGAAAAAAATACCAGCTCCCAGAGGGCCCATATACCTAAAACATTATCCGTTACCTTGATGCATCACATTTGTCTGCAGATACCAAAAGAGGAAGAAAGAAGGAAAAGGGGGAAAAAAAGTGTGGGAGCTGCATGTTTACATGTGTTTTGAGCTATATGCTTAATACACAACTGGAAAGCCATCAATCTTCAAAGGCCTCAAAAATACTTTTTAATAACTACCAAGTGCACAATCTTAGTTGGGTTATTCAAGATGGCACAAACAAGGTCTCCACAGAGGTGTTATGCTGTGCTTGTTGGCGCACGTAGTGGGGGAGGGGGGGTGGGAATTTTTCACTTTTAATGACTTCCTATTAAAAAAGCATTCAACAGCCAGGGACAGGAGCAAGGGTAGGGGCAATTTTGTGGACACCAGAACTGAAGTTAGCTTTAGCATTTAAAAAAAAAAAAAAAAAACTTTGTTTTTTTTAATGTATGTGTGATCCAAGAATAACAATAGACTCTACCAGACCAGGAGGGTAAGAATGGACACAAAAATGAAATAAATAATCATGGCAGTCCCTCTGCTGCAGCTTGAAAAGTCCTAGAGGAGTCAGGCTGGAGCACCCACACCAGGGCTGGGGTCAGGCAGGGCGCAGCAGCCGCCACTACTTCTCTGTCAACAATTCCAGGCCTGATTTGCCCAGCTCTGTCCACGACTGGGTGGGTAATACCAGTTTGCAGAGGGGATTAATAGTTGTACAACACTTCAGGGGTAAACCCTTCAGGATAAATACAAACTGGTTATGTTACTAAATGATTTGAGGGATTGTTGGGGAGGGGGAGTATTTTTGTTGCTGTTATTTTGATGGTCAGAGCTACAAAGAGCAGTTTTTTCCCTTCCCCATTCTGAAACATTATACGTGGGGTCATTTTTTTTTCCTCCCAAAAGAAGATACATGAATAATCAGACTGAACTATGTGCAACAGAAGTCAAAAGGGAAATAGAGAAGATGACAAGGTTACATCCATGTATAATAGTTTGAAATTAAGTCTGAGGTAAATCTCATCAGGGTTTTAGCCCAGGTGAGTTACAAGGAATGGGAGAAGAAAATTCTCTCTAGAAACTTGTTTTATGTGTTGGATTCGGGAGCAGAGAGGAATGAAGTGGAAACAGGAATTACCTTTCAGGCAAAAGTCAGGATAGTCTGGTAGTAAAGACAGATTAAGTAAAACAGGTTTTACTGTTCAGCTGCGTTCAGTTAATACAAAATGTACATAAAGTGTTAGTCCTTTGAGACTGACATGTTTAATTATCAGTGCGGTGGGAAATGATATAGTTATTGTATACAAGCACTTGCAAACTCTTTATAGATCCCTATTTCTTTAAAACAAAATCAGATGAAATATGAAGGCCCTGGTCTGATATAAAGCTCCTATTGGATTCTTTGGATACGTGTAAGAAATTTCCTGTTTAGTCAGAAGACTGGTGTCAACACATACATCAGACTACGTTGTGCTACAGGTTGATTTTTTTTATTTTCTTATATGCAGGTGAGTGTTGAAACTGTTAAAATTCCAATTTGTTTTCATTCAGTATTAGTTCAGTTCTAAATATAGCAAACCCCATCCAGGTGCTATCACATGACCAGTTACTGCTTAGTTAACTAGGTGTAAAGTTTTACATATACATTAATGTCAATAGTTTATTACAAGTTGTGTAAAATGGACTTTAGTTTAATAATGGGGGAAAAAAAATAGGTTGCTCCTGAAACTGACTGTAGAGCATGTAAGATGATTTTACTGGATTCTGTTCAACTGTAATCAATGAAAAGGATGTATGTTGTAGAAAAAGTTGCAGAATTAAAAAGAAATCTGCTTTTAATTTATTCTTTTTGTATTAAGAATTTGTATAGTACCTTTACATTTTGCAAAACAGTGTTGTCAACACTTATTAAAGCATTTTCAAAATGAAAAGATCCCAATTGCCTCTTGGAGATTTTTTTTTTTTGTCTAAGTGATAAATGCTTCCCCATGCTCACGCTAGTTGTACCCTCCAGAAATCTGCAGTTCAGGGGCCTGTGTCCTGTTTGGTCTGTTTTAATCTGTTGTCAAAAACCTAAATGCTTAGAGAAACACCCAGAATTAGTGTAACAATATATTTTTTGTGAGTAGATATGATTCGAATCAGGCAGCATCACCTGAACACGTCGGGAAGGCCCTCAAAAGAGGGGACAGTGAAAGTGGGTTATATAGGTCATTGTTAATTTCTCAAGAATCAACATCAAAGCATAGGGCAGGTTACAGAAACAGTCACCAAGGACATGCCATACGTCCTAAAGCAGACTCTAGTCAGACCCTGAAGTTCCTGCTTTTCAAAGCTGGCTGCACATAGGTAATTTTCCAAAAGAACCCAATGCCTAAGGCCAAACATCTCTGCTAAGCTGCTTACCAAAGTATTGTTTGATTTGAAGGTGACTTGAGGGAACAGTTCCTTCAAGTTCAAAGGGACACCTAAGGGTGGATGTCCTGGGTGGGTTACCCTGATTCCATGAACCCATAAATCTGGATTCCAGGAGAATCAAAACAATTTTGTCACTGTAGATAATATTCTTACTGGCTTGTTAGATGATATAGAAAAGCTCAGCTGGTTTGTTGTTGTTAGCTGCTGTTGAGTCAGCCCCCAACTTATGGCGACCCCATGCACAATGGCATTGAATCATTATGATCCATGGTGTTTTCATTGCTGATCTTTGGAAGTGGATCACCAGGCCTTTCTTAGTCTGGAAGCTCCACTGAAACCTGTTCAACATCATAGCAATACTCAAAGTCTCCACTGATACACAAGTGGTGGCTGCCCTTGACTTGGAATCAAACCCAGGTCTCCCATATGGAAGGCAAGAATTCTGCCACTGAACCACTACTGCCCCCTTTGTTTAGTAGAGGCTAATTCCGTCTTTGGAATCCTAGCTTCATTTTATTAATTATACAAAGGTAATATATTCCAAATTATGTATATCCTTCCTACTATAAAAAGGGATTTGAGACTAGAGATAAATCTTTGTTAGGATACTATTTCAGTATTTTTGTACCAGTGTTTTTTAACAGATCATTACTAGTGTGTAGTGTGTGCTGGTATATGTACCGTTCCCACAAAGCAACCATGGCAGGAAAAACATTGAGGCATCTGTGCTTTTTTGGATCGTCCTTAGTCTCTACCTCCATGTCGTCTCTAGTTCTCTGTAGGATGCAAACAGTCATCCAGGAAGGCACTCAGAATGCTCAGGCTCCTTACTACCACTACTCTTCACCCTCTGCACCCACACTACAGCTCACACTCTGTCACTCTCCCTCTAAATCCCATCACCAAAGCAACAGCCTACTGGGCCTGCAGGTACAAGAGCCCCACACTTGTGGGGAAAACCGTGAGTGGCTCACTTCAGTAGAGACTTTGCTACTATTAAATTCCAGGTCCAATAGCCCAACATGCATCCCCTCACTAGCAGGAAACTAGAGTCTGGCCTTCAAGGCTATCTCTAGATGGAAAGCCCGTGAAGTGTTTGCCACTTGAATGAGTTAATCCCTGCAAAAAAATGAAACACTCCATTGAGAACCTGAACCATGTCCGTGTGAGCCCACTAAGACAGGATTTTATACTTCCTAAGCCATAAACAAACAACCATGGTGTTTTCAGTCACCTTATGCATGTGAAAGTTGGGCAATGAATAAGGAAGACCTAAGAAGAATTGATGCCTTTGA